AAGAAGAGGATAAAGATAAAAAAGAACTGCAACGTGAAAGGGTTTTTTTACTATTCTAATATAGATGATTTTAAGGGTCAGTACTTTTTTTCAGTCCGGTCATGCAGAAATCCTGCCCAAAATCATAAAAATTACAATAAGTAAATAAATAAATATAACAAAATACAAAATCAGTCAAATATACGCACAAAGTTCGCTATATCTAATTTTGTACATTTAGAAGTTCCCTATAGCCGTATAATAAGATATTAAGTGTAAAGGACTAAAAACGGTCATTATTATATCTTTTATATTGTTCGGTCGTTATCCAGCGTATTTAAAAAAATTCAGTCTTTAAAACTCCGACCTCTACCTCTGCTGGAGTATCCTTGATGATGCACGATAATTCGTTGAGTTGTGCTCTTTGACTCAGGGAAATCAGAGATCCGCACAGTCTTGATAACGGAAAATTTGATTTTAAGAAAATTTGAAAAATGGAAAAAAAAAAGAAGAAGAAGAAAAAGAAGGGAAAGAAAATCTGAAAAGTTTCAAATTTTAAATGACGTCCAAGGAGGCGTTTTTTTCACATTTTCTTCGTTACCTTTATTTATTAAATATCATGTTCTTCGCACTTAAACCATAAACTTCAGTTTAAGAACAATTTCACAAAGCAATTATATCTTTAGAATTTCCGATACACAGTCTCATGCGCTGGAGATAAAAATGCTTTTTCTGCACAACGTTCCATTATTCGCTTTGAAATCCCTGAATTTGTTAATCAAAAATTCGCTAAAGTTTTACAACATATGAAAGAGATAATAAAGCAAACTCCAAATTTCAAATTTGGGCATCCAGATGCTCATATTCGCAGTAGGATAATGCCATTCAAAATCTGATGGCTCTAGGTACCGTTGTTTTACGACAATGCGAGAAACCGAGAAACATACATACATTTATGAAAATTCTTCATTATTTAATTTATTCAAATATAATACAGGGTGATAATACATGGTGGCCACAGTTTCAAAAGTGAAACGGACATTCAGAGTGATTCGACGCAAAATCGAAAAACCAAAGCGTCAGTAAAAAAAAAAAAAAAAAAAAAAAAAAAAAAAAAAATGCATCTGAAATCATGGCTTTTATAAATTTGAATTGCAAGTCCATTGGATTTACTGTTTTATTGTTTGAAATTTGTTCATTTTCCTTTTCTGTGATGTTTTTCCTCAATTTCTGGTCAGAACTGGCTTATTGTCTGTGTGCAATATTATTACTATTACTTGGTGAGCCATAGTATTACTATTACTATCTGGAGATTTTTTTATAGCTCGCTACAGCAGAGATTGACTGTACTTCGGAAATCAGGAGATGATGTTGCGCATGTAGACTTTATGGTTTCTTGAGAAACGATTCAAAGAATATCCAAGCAGCCGGGACCCGAGCCGCCGGAGCATTATCCAGAGTTCCAGAATTAGACGCGATGGTACATCATGGATAAACTGTTGCAAAAGTACCGATGAGCAATTCAGATTGAAACAGATAATGTCGCCTTGATGCTCCTCAGTCCTGCTTTCTTACCGAGTTAGCTCCTATCGACTACTGCCTCGTGATAGGGGTTGTGCTTCATTCTCTAAATAAGACTTCATGACGTCACTGTTTTCCCCATGTAAAAGAAATCAAATGCAAATTTCAAAGAATGCACGAGGCATGTAGCACATTACTAAATGTGCTACATTACATTGTAACGTTGCGCGCCTCCAACTTGCACGCAACCAAGAGGTGACTGTGGAAACTGGATAAAACACTGAGTCTTGTGAAGGGTTTAAGTCCCTTTTTATTCAACGTAATAAATTACAATTGCGTGCTCTTGACGCTTACAGACTGCGCCAACTCGGCAGTCAAATAAAAATAATAACCTGAAAAGAACTAAAGACAAGACTCTAACTACGAGGCTCTCTAAAATAACTAACTCACCGCGTTTTACAAAACCGCTGCTAATTCAGCAGACTTGAAGCTCACTTGAACGATTACCACTACTTCCCGCCAAGCACATAGGCCGAAACGCGGGGTTCTTTAATTTCTCGCAAACTACCTCCGCGCTCGTGAAGTAAGAATATCACACCGAACTCGTTTCCTTCCTATTTAAATCATAATACTTCCGCTGATAATTTGAATCCTTGCGCGTTCTACTAAAATTTACATATTCTGGCATTGGCAGTTCCAGGGGAAAGTAAGGCTTGACAGGAAAGATAGTTTAAACTTAAAATAAATGTTAGTTAAAATAAATATAAACTCTACAACATGTATCAAAATTTAAAGCAGGAATCTCCGGCTCAAATAAACAAACTAAGAGACTAAAATGCTTTTCTCCGAAAATTTCTCTAATTTGGCTAGAAATCGCATTATGCCTAGCTTAGTGATAAAACCTGTCGCCAAAACACAGTAAAGAAGCATAGGAACCCTCAAGCTATTGTTGCTTCAAACCTCATTCAACTCAGAATGAAATATTCTACAAAATAATACTTGAAATAAACACAGAAAAATGCAATACGTGGTCACAAATTCAAAATTAAACTAAATAAATATAAAATTACTATGCCTCATTAAATATGTGTAAAATGCAGTAATGTAGTAAGCAAATAAAATAATAAATAAGAAAAAAGTACTATAAAACAATACACAAATAATAAAAAAGTCAAACTATATACAAACACACTCTTTTGCAAAAAACTCGAAGCACCAAGAAGGAATTTTGCGATCGTGACGAAATTTGGTATGCAAAAACATCTGGATGGAACATGCAAATGATCGAAGTTTCAAAGCAAATGAACTGGAATTGCAATCATAGCGCGCAATTCTAGTGCGCAATTAGAAAGTATAAAACCAGTAACTGAGGCGGAAAATTTATCTTTTTTGTTGCTGCCATTATAATTCCGTAAAGCAGCAACTAAAGATGCCATTACGACGATATCGAAGAGCTTACAGACAACTAAATGACTTCGAACGTGGGTGGTCGCATTGTAGGGTTGCATGCAGCTGGGTGGTCATACCGAGCAATAGGCTGCCACCTGCAGCCTACAGACACTACTGTGCAAAGACATTGGCAGCAATGGTTGATACAAGGAAATTGCCGACGAAGTGAAGGCTCTGGAAGGCCAAGGAGCACAAATACGAGGAAAGATAGGATGATTGTTCGCCAGGCCCGAAGCGCCCCAACGTTATCATTGTCGATTATTCAACGCACTACAGCCAAGTCTATACCTCCCGTGGTACCGTCCACTATCTCATGGCGTTTGGCTGAGGCGGGGTTACGGTCACAGAAGCCAAAGACGTTTGCCTTTGACCCCACAACATCGGCGGAGCCGTCTGGAGTGATGTCACAGCCGATCATCATGGCTGTTATCATACTGGCATCGTATAGTGTTCAGCGATGAATCCCGCTTTACTTTTGAAGCAGATGACAACCGTGTTCGTGTCTGGAGAGGACGGGGCCAGCGGTCCCAATCCGCCTTTGTTTTATAAAGGCATACAGCCATAACCCCTGGTGTGGGCGCTATTTCTTATGACAGCAGGGGATCTTTAGTCATCCTCCGTACATCTATAACAGCTCAACGATATGTTAATACCATCCTGTGACCGGTTGCATTATCCTTCATGGCACGTCATCCGGGGGCCATTTTCCAACAAGATAATGCCAGGCAATATACCGCTGGCATATCTCTGGACTGTCTCCGTGGGGTTGATACTCTTCCTTGGCCAGCAAGGTCACCAGACCTTTCACCAATCGAACATGTCTGGGACATGGTAGACTGCCAGATTCGGGCACCACAAAATATCGCAGATCTGGAGCGACAACTGATGAATGCCTGGCAGAATGTGTCTCAGGATGACATTACCACTCCTTGCCTCTACCTCTCCCTGCCTCTATGAATTCAAGCATGCATTGCCGCCAGGGGCGGTTCGAACAACTCTTAATTTGAACACTCAGTGGGTGATTGTGAACCGTTAACAGGTACTATGATCTTGATTTTTTAATCATTTTATTATCTATGTTTTGAGCTATACACATATTCAGTTTCATCAAAAACAACCACTTCCTTCATGGTGCTTCGAAGTTTTTGCAAAAGAGTGTATAAATATTTGTAAAATTATGTAGAACAGTATAGAAAAGTGAGAAAGTAAGTGATACAATTTGTAACTTTTTGTTCGGTTTGGCTTTATGTGCGCAAACATTTTATTATTTCTTACATTCAAAATAAATAGCATTAAATTTCGCGGACACTCCAGAAACAAAATAATAATAATTCTTTAAATATTAATGTAAAGGAAAAACCATAAATGATGAATGAAGTTATAAAACATTGTCTGACTTTGCTCTTTATTTGCATAACATTTACGTATGTTTGACATAAAACATTTATGAATTGTAGAGTTAAATAACATCAGTATTTGCCAATCGTTGCTTAATTTAAAACGCTTGTTACGTCAAAATATTGGTTCCACATCTGATTCAACCTCTTCATGAGAGGGGAAAAAAAACAATTTTCCAATCGGAATAATAACTCTAGTCGATAAAGACGATAAAAAATACAACAATTGCATGTTGAAAATAATATTTCCTTAAAAAATAAATGGGTCTATTGCTAATTTTGATCCGAAAAGTACTTAAGGAGACATTTAACTACTGAGCGCGAAGTCAGGAGGGGGGTACAAAATATTTTCCTCCCCAAATACCTTTCGAACAACTTTGTATTATCATGCTTCATAATTTTTTGGACGATATGGTTAATTAAAATAAACAAAATGTGTTGTGCTAAAGTTTCTTGCGTGCAGTGGCAATGAAAATCGTTAAAGCATTTCGTATGAAAGAATTCAAATCTTTTCTAGTGCACTCCGTCACAATCAATATCCAAAGGCGTGGTGAAGTGAATTCATAAATGGCACACCAAACATGTAATTTTGTTTTCGAACTTTCTTTTGGTAATAGTTGTTTTCATCTTTAACAAGTAAAGAGGAGCTTGAAAAAGCCTAGTTGAAGAGTACCTTGTTCCATGCATCAAATAAGAATTAGTTCAACGCCATGGGAATGGTTGTTTAATAAAGATTTTAAGTTGATTATAATTTTTTCGTATTACTTTCTAATAAATGCAGCAGACTCATGGTAAGTTTTTAGATGTCTTTCACTTAGCAATAATACGGCTTTATTTGAATTTCTAAGTAATCGAACATTTATATAACCTTCTTTGTTCTCATTTCATATAGCCTTCTTTGTAGCAGCTCATTTTTGAAATATTTTTTCGCTTGTAGAATTTTTGCTGAAAAATAAATAAATGTTATCTCTCTTCGTATTTTCAAGTAATTTCAATCTTTTCAATGCCCGAAAATTTTCATTCATTAGGAATATTTGCTCCTATCTAAGAGATTTTTGTTCTTTGCATAAATCCTTCAATTCTAAATCTAAATCGTTAATCTTTCTAATTTATACTTACACAGAGTTTTGAACTTGGTCGACACCTTTAATGTAAAGATTTAGATTTCTTCCCTTTATTTATTTCATCCTTGTTTATTAATGTGCTGTTATCTCGTTGCAATGGAGTCCCATAAACTCCATGTAGTGTGGAGTGACAAGAAAAGTTTCTCTCCTAACGTTGAACTTTTAGAAAAATATATATCAATTTGCTCATCTAGAAATACATAACAATGAAACATTATAGTGCATTCATTCACAAATATTTAGTTTTGCCGTTATTTGGTGACTTTCCACATTTTCAAAATGCAGTTCTGAAAATCTGGAAATTCACCAAGCTGATTGACTGCCACAATGAAAATATAAAATGACAAATAAAAAGATGAAAATCGAAAAATACCCACTTTGGCTGTCAATACGTAGTAGCTTAAAATAAAAGCTTAACTGCAGAAATTAAATGGAACAGATGGCTTTATCTTCGAAACTTTAGACCAGAATACACCAAATTTTATATTCTCCATGATAATAAATACGCTGAATGCAGATTCAATGTATAGCATAGACGAGTTACAGTAAAAAAACAATAATCTGTCAACGTTTAGCGAGCAGCTGCGTTTAGCGAATTGAATAAAATTCACAGATTTTAATTTTTTCAACGGTAAGTAACTGCAGTTTGCTTAAGAAATACGCATTCAACAACATTTTAAAATTGTGCAGGATTTACGTTTGCATATGAACATATATAACTGGAGTACTTCCACAAATATAAGTAGCAAGGCCATGATAATTGATTATGCTAATTTTAAGATTTATATAAACTTTAAACGATTATTAAAGCTTAAATGATTTTACCGCCTTTGTAATTTGTTTGCTTTTATAGTACTATGTAAGGATTATGTTAATTTTATTAACAGTTAAATTTTGAGTTAAACTTCCTTTCCTATCGATTCTTAATATCAACTTACCACTTCCGTCCAGAACGTAGTTTTAGAATCACGTCTGAATGCTAATGAGGAAGAGCGGTATTTAACCGCAAAGTTATACTGTCTTAGAGAGAGATATACCAGATATTCTGGCTGCACGCGTGCGCCTTTTTAGGCTACTCTCTCGTAAGCTATTATTATGCTCGGCCGTACTTTAGGCCCTTGATAGCTTCGCAGTCAATTAACGTTAAGCGGCCAACAATGTTGAATTTTGATAGCTTCCGCTATATTTCTTTAGTTAAGATTAGTTTAGTTTGATTCTTAGTTTCTTAAGTTCAAGCCCAAGTGTAGGCTTTATTGTAGAACTCCAAGACGGAGTTCTGTTAAATCTTATTCGAATAATAAAGGGTTATTTTACTCTTCTATCTTGTTTCCTTTCACACGACCTCAAGTGATTATTCGCTTATCATATCTTAACGTTCTTCACTTTCAACAGCAACTTAGAATTACACAGTGGAGAATCCTATAGCCTTTTGTAATTTTATAGTGCCTTTGTGACTGAAATATACAGTATTTTATATGCTGTATATTTAGTCACAAAGGCACTATAAAATCAGTGACTTGTTTCAGTCACATTTTTTTTATTTTACACTTTAACTCTCTAACATTAGTTAATTTACAGAATAACTAGTTATGCTATGAAATAACTGGTTAAAGTGGGGAATTATTAACTTAAGAACAGAAAAGAAGCAAACCAAAGTAAAAAATAAAAATAGCAAAGCAACAATTTTGTGTTTGGCGTATATTTTAGTCAAGACTCCATCGATTTCAGGGGAAACAGCTACAGGATCCCTTTCAGAAGAAGCAAAGAAATCTGCAACGAAGGTAAAGCTACAATTGTATTTATACCCAACAGGAGTAAAGCGAGAAGGTAGAGCCATCTGTCAGCAGAAATAGTAATAAATCGAAAATTAAGTTAAAAAATTTTAAAAAGTTACAGCTTTATCTTTATATTCAGACTGTCATTAAACATTTGAAACAATTTTAAGCTAAACATTTATGCTGTAGAATCTATTAGATTTTTCAGAAATACGAATAATAGGCTCCTGCCTTGACCGAAATGCAAAGGGAAGACTTTCAGTTGTTATCTGGACTTGCAAAACTTACATTATCATGACAGGATGCTGAAAGAAATGAAACGATTTCTTAAAACGTTAATTCTACTAGTTTAAGAAATTAAAGGTATAGAACATAAAATCATACATTTAAAAAGAACTGTTATAAGCTAACGTGCCTTCGTGGTGTAACGGTAGCACGCTGGGCCGGTATTCCAGAGGTCCGTGGTTACATTCCCGCCGATGGCGGTTGCTAATTTTTCATCTCTCTGGCTTCGAAAATTAACCTAATGACTCTACACTGTTCGTAAATTATAACGTTACGTGAAGAATTTTCTCTTAATAATGATAATAATAATAAACTTTCTGAACCAAAACGTAGCTGTCTTTTTGTTTCCTGAAAATTGACTACGCAAAAGATTGCAGCAAATATTTTCCTTTAAGTGAAGGGGCAACATTTTCTATTTTGCGGAAACATTAAATGTTCGTAACGGAAACAATAAAGAGGGATTTCAGGATGTTAGAATGAATTTATAATTCATTTTTAGATTCCAGTTTAATGAGACATCAAGTAAAAACTGTCGGAAAGTGGCAACCTTGTAAAGCATAAAAAATTCGAAAATGAGTTTCTAACTTATATTTATGTATATCGAATATAAAAGCAGACTTTTATTACTTCTTCAGTAATGAAAATTATTTAATCTTACGTGCTAAACTAAGTAGGTAAACTAAGTAACATTCCGAAATTTAATGTAAAACTGCAAGAAATTAAATTCCATAATGAATTTCTTTATTTGTCTAAAGTTATACTGCTTATTAATTTTTTTAATCTTAAACGAGCTTTGTAAGATTTGTAGGATACTAATGTTTGCTAAAATATTAACCCCTAGATCATGCAAATATTTATATTTTAAAAACTAAAATAGTACGCATACACTTGTAGCATTAATATATATATATACTCACATTCAATAAAATATACTCACATTATATATATATATACTCACATTCAATAAAAATTAACATGTATCTTTTAAAAGTTAAAAAAAAAAAGAAACATAGGTAAAATAGCAATGAAACCATGTTACAGAACTCTATAGCTGAATTTATTTTTGAAGCACACTGTAGCGTACAGAAACAAAGTGTTGCCGCAATCAAATTTTGTTAAATACGCTAAACATGTAAATGTTAATAGAAGAGGATGTCATTAGAAAGCATTAGAATATTATTACAAATAAGTTACTTCCTTCGATCGGCTAGGTTTTTGCAATGTATGGTTATAACTTATTAGATAAATAAAAGACCTTAATGGAGTAACTGCTTCTATTTTCCTTAACATTGTTTGCGAAGTAAAATAGTAATGCCCATAAAGAAAAAAAGTTCGATTCTTATTAGATTCTCATTGATTTCCTTTCTTATTGCGTGATGTCGTTTTAAGTTTAATGCATAAATTATGAATGATATACACAATTCAATTTGTTTACATGCAAGTATTACTTTGTTTACATATAGCCATGAACTACTTTATGGTAAAACATTAAAATGAAACTTACTTTGGTTGGTATAGAATAAGCCTTATAGTATGAATGAAAAGCAAAAGAATCGATAAATTTAAATAAATCTATCGTACAAATCCTATTCTTCTGATCTATCAACCTGTAAGGATTGTTTTAATTTTATTAACAGTTAAGTTTTGAGCTAAACTCCTTTTTTTTTCCCTTTGAGAACATACAGACTCCCCGTGCACCACATATGTACAACACGGGGCTTACAGAAGTAAGTTAACTAGAACATTAAAGGTTACATGTATAAATAAACATTAAAAATTACATGCATAAATAAAGCGAACAAAAGCAGAGAACAGCAGTCTGGACTTCACGAAAACAGATAAGTTCACTGGCCAAGTCACTCCGAACATTTTCAAATCGTTCTGTAAGCATAATCTAGGGCCATCAAATGTAGGGCACGAGAAAATCAAATGTTCCACATCCTGAGGAACTCATTTTGAACAATATTAAACATAAATTGTTTGATCGTAGATTAAAACGAAACAGATAACTTGCAAATTTCCTGTCAAATTCTTAACTTCCACTTACTACTTCCGGCCAGAACGTAGTTTTAGAATCGCGTGCGCATACATAATGAGGAAGAGCGGTATTTAACCGCGAAGTTCTACTTGCTGAGTGAGAGACAATCAGAGTTTCTGATTAGCGCGCGTCCGGCTTTTTTGCTACTCTCTCGCAAAGCTGTTATTACGCACGGTCGTAATCAGACCATTGATAGCTTCGCAGTCAACTAGCGTAAAGGGGGCCAACTCGGCTAGAATCTTGATAGCTTCGGCGATATCTCTTTAGTTTAGATTAGTTTTAGTTTACTTCTTAGCCTCTTAAGTTCAAGCCCAAGTGTCGGCTTTTATTGTACACTCCAAGACGGAGTTCTGTTAAATCTTATCTGAATAATGAAGGGTTATTTACCCTTCCATCTTGTTGTTTCTTGTTGCACGAACTCAAGCGATTATTCGCTTACTAGTTCTTAAGATTCTCCAAGTTCAACAGTAACGTAGCATTTACGAAGTGAGGAACTCTACAAACCAAATAATTAGCCGATATTTACAAAGAGAAACCTCAAAAGCACTTCTGGTGGCAACTGTTGCTGCTATTCCTTGAAAATTAATTCGATATGTGAATCACATGCTCAAAATGTTTTATTCCACATTTATAAAAGTGAAAATTGAGATGGTTAACTAAATACGGTCTCTAGGTCTTTCTAAAGATATCTAGAAAATTATTTGAAAATAAATAATAACGGCTTATTCATACGCTTCTGTAAACTGCCTTCATTTGATATTCCGCCCGCTCTGCATTTAGTAACAGTGAGTATGTAACAATGTCGTAATAATCCAATTTTTTTATATAATGAGCAGGTAACGTACTATAAAACGAATATTTTTTCTCTGTAAAATGATTATTTTTTTACCCGATTAAGCATTCTCTTTAGGATCTGAGGGCGGCAGATTAGGTATAAGTTGTGTTCTTTGGAATTTATGACTCCATAATGACAATTAGTAAGCAAAACAGGTATATACAGTGTCGCGAACGAAATACCATAGCATTCAATCCCCGTGGGAAATTTTTAATATTGCATATTTAATGTTAGCAACGTGTATTTGATAGATTTATTTTTATGGAAAATCCAGTAGATGTCTGAAGAAGTTAATATCGGACACTAAACAGTAGTTTGCAAAATACCGGTTAATGAGCAGTTGAGTGTGGAAAAAAAGGTGAAAGCCACAATGTTGCTTGATGAAACAAACACTTCGATAAAGACACAAACATGTTTTCGTGCACACTTTAGTCCAAGACTGGCTTCTTGCAAACAGACCATTCAGAATTTGGATGCTACTGCCTCCGGTATTGGGGAAGATTTAACGGCTCCCATCAAGCATCTGCAAGCCTGAAAATGACAACAAGTCTCTCTTTCCACACTCAGAGGTCCATACACGATGGAGCTTGTCCACATACTACAAAAATTGCTCTTGGTTTCCTGTGTGGGATGTTTAATGTAACTGTAATATTACATCCGTCTCCAGAATATTACGAAGCTGGGAAACAGTGACACTCGTATAGCACTGATATTAATCCGTATAATTTATAGAATATTTTGGAAGGCAAGGTATCTCAAGAAAACCTGCAAATGTAGCTCAATTCAACTTTTTTTATCGTGTAGCTGTGCAACGCAATTTTCGGAAGTGCCGAAGGGTTGAGACAAAGCAAAGGTTCTCTTGAAAACCTTGCGAAGAAAAATGGTGGACACATTGAAGCACATTCTGCAATAAACTCAATTTTCATGTTCAAACAGTTAATTATACGTTCATTTTGTAATATTTCAATGATAAATAAAATAAAATAAATATATAATATAAAGCAAAGGGTATGGCACTGGTGCGCAACTTTGTATTACATTATTTCCCTGAGCTTTAGCGTATGTCTATCTTATTGTGCTGTGAATTAACGCCTTGCCTGAAAACGATTATTCATTAGCTAAACAAAGAAACTGAGTTTTGTTATTAACTCAATTTAAATATATTAGGAGGTCAAATCACTAAATGAACAAAAGTTACAAACTGAATTCCCACTTTCCATTCCTCCTGTTTGGATTGCAGGTAAAAGGGATTTGCATAGATTTGTAACCTTAATAAAAGAGGCAGCACTGGTCTTTTTTTAAGGAAGCTTACAGTTTTATTTGTTCTCAACTAACGCAAAAAGGATCGCTATGTATAAGTTTTACTTATTTCATAATCAAATTTTGTTCTTTCAGTGAATGCTCTGTGCCAAATCCTCTCATTCCAGAAGGTTACAATAAACACTTGACACCTTTAGAGCAAGGTAAGTTGAAAACTATCTTCTTATGTATGTTTTATCAATTTTTAATATTTAAACAGTATAATGAACCCTTTCTAAGGACACTATCAATGGCTAAGGATTCTTTTGGGCATCTATAGAGGCAGTCATTTTAGAAAGCTCATGCTCAATATCGATAGTTATTTAAGTTCTTAGAAATGCTCAAAGATTGTCTTATTGGGGAAGTGGTAGCCGCAAGAGTATTCACTGCATATTTTTACACAGCAATATTTATATAAAATAATCAGGTGACTAAGAAATTCTCTTAATATTGTACAAAAAATTACACATGACAGCCTCTGAATTATATAAGCTAGTTGTTATATGAATTATATATATTTTGCAGAAAAGTATTCCTTATTTGATATTTAGCGAGAGATAGTATAATTTAAAAGCATATTAATGCTCCAGAACTGTAAAATATCAGACTTAAGTAAGTTTACAAAAACTTATTATTAAAAATAGTATTACCTATTACATTTGCATAGATATATAAACGAAATAATGTATATTTATCGAAGTTTATATATATATATATTACTTAGACTCATATGCTTCCACAGATTATGCTGAAGGAAGGTTATTTACAAGTGCTGAAGAAGGTTATTGAGTGCTAAGTTAAACCTAATTATACGATTTTTTAAAATTATATTTTAACTAATACGTTTGATTGAAAAAACTCTTCTTATATATGATGGCATTCTTCATTAATGACAAGTAGTAAAGACATTTCCTGTGATATAATATTTAGGCCTTTTTAACAAAGTACAAACAATAAATTAAGGTCGATATAAAAACAAACAATTTTAAGTTTCCCGTCCGTAAATTGCACACTTGCATTATAACTATTAACTATTAAAGAAACCGAATCACCTAAAATGTAAAAGCTCTAAGTAAAAGCTTTCTACTCGAAACAACCATTGGCATTAAAGCTGTTAAACAAAAACAGCAAGAATCACTTAAGAAACGAAAACATAAGCCACTAAGTTACACAAAATAAACTGAGACAAAGGAGAATACTCTGGACTCAAAACAGCATTTACAATTACATTTTTTGAAAATTAAATATTTAGTCTGATTAAACGTGTTTAAATATTTGGACACGAAAAACAGCTAAGAAACATAAAACATATTTAGTTTCCTTCACCATGAAACCCGACTGAGCAAGGAATGGTTTTAGATTTCTTCTATTAAAAATGACTTAGAGAAAGGAATTCCTACAAGGGTTTCTTGTCTGTAAAACTAACTTCAAATGTTGATTTAATATCTGCAGAGATTCTTAGAAAAATATGATGTTTTGTAAACTAGGATTTATCTCGCTATCGAAGAATTAAAAGACAACTAAAAAATCTAAAATAATTAAATGATATCATATCAAGAAAGAAATGCTATCATATCATACGATAAAACAATTTTAATGAAAAGAGCTCTGTTACTTAAAATTTTGAGAAGAATTCAAAATGGTGCATGCAGGTTGACTTGGTGGGAACAAGAACTGTTTCATATTAAATAGAGAGAGATATTACATAATTTTTAAATAAAGATATGTAACCTGATTTATATGAAATCTTTTTTATTATCTTTTCTGTGTTAAATCTTTGGTTTCTCTGTACTCTGTTATAAAGTATAAAAATTTTGCTTCTTTTAGAAAAGAAACCTACTATGGTGTACCTTAATTTAGATATAATGGACATTGACCAGATCGAGGAAGAAAAAATGGTAAATTGCATGTCTGATTATTAACATATTCAATGCGTTGAAGAATTGAATTTTAATTAAAATTTCTTGACTAGTTTTGAACTCTTTTTTTTTTCCTCATATCTTGAAATCTAAGTTAAACATAAAAACGAATTTTAAATATTGAAGGAAAAATTAATAGTTAACTAATACTAAATAAATATATTTATTTCTAATAGCTAATGTAAAAGTTAAGTTAATCGTTTTAGGATTTTACGTAATTATAACGTATTGACTGAACAACAACTGTATTGAATCTATTGACTGAAAAAGTTTTAAATTATAACTGAATTTAAAAATGAAGATAAAAATCAAGTTGCGGAAAGAGAAGACTTCTGAATACTAATAGTTCTACGCCGCATTCTATTTTCGAAAAACCGGCTGACTACTTGGCTTTTTTTTGTGGGTTTTCTCGTGTACATAAAATTTTCTCCGAAACCATCCCTTAAAAATAATTGTAATGTTCATGTTATGATTAACAGCATAATCATTCTTAGAAAATAAAGGTAAAAGGCTTACTTTTTAGTCGATCTTTTTTCTCGTTCCAAAGGCGTATTTCCGGGAATGTTTTTATTAATTACATTCATCAAAGGCACTACTCACGCAAAAAGAGAGGCTTCTAAGATAATAAGTTATTTAATTTACAAATCACATCACTAAACTAAAATATATAACACAGAAGAGAAGGACTACATGTTTCACTCAAACGTCCATCACGAGTTCTCAAACTTCAGTTGAGAGTTCAGTTTTAGACTCTTTCTGCGCGCATGCGTAAATCACGTGGTGATCGGTGAGAGTTTCAACATACTCCCACCTTTAAATTTACTGAAAAAGCAAATTTAAAACTGTAACCTTTGAACGGGCTTTACCATTCGACCATTTCTTGTCATCGATGGAATCTTTTCGCTCCTAAGATCTTGAGGCAAGTCATTACGAATATCAGGATCGCAGTAAGTCTCTGTTTCATCAGAAGAGTTGCTTACCACACTTCTAAATTTCGATTGTTCATCTGATGATGTTGTTATCTCCAAAGGATACAAACGCTTGGTTGGTGGCAAAACTTCTCCAAGCTTCGTCTTGATCTTAACTAAACGCACATGTCCATCCCGAGATTTGAAAATCTCGGTTACTTTCGCCAATAACCAGTCTGTTCGCTTCTTATTATCATCACTAAAACTAGATCTCCTACTTTCAGAGGTTGTGAGGCTTTTGCATGTTTATAGTTTTGCCGTAACTGTCCGAGATACTTGATTCGAAATCTTTTACGTAGCTCTTGTAAAAGTTTTTGTCGATAAATAAGCCTTTTTTTTTTTAAAGATTTCGCATCTATATTATCCAGATGAGTAAGTCCAATTTGTCGAATCTCATGAAGAAGCATGGAAGGTGTGATCGGAGATAAATCTTCAACATCTTCCGAGACGTACGTCAATGGACGACTATTCATTATTGCTTCACAGTCGCACAAAATTGTTATCATTTCTTCATGATTCAGAGATGATCGTCCTAAAACTTTGTGAAGGATTCTTTTTAGATATTCCTATTAATCGCTCCCACCATCCTTCCCACCAAGTCTACTTTTAAAAACACGTTATTCCAATAATTCTGGTCACAAAGCAAAATCAGTCGTAAAGATAATTCAGAATGAATACGTTTCATTTTAGTCACATCTGAATCTTTGGCATTTAAGCTTCAGAAAAGAAAGATTCCAGGGCCGAGGAGATGCGCCAAGTCAAGAACTGAAGATAATACTTTGCATTCATGTAGTTTTCTCTTCCAACAAAAGTAAATATCATACTAAACAAACAGTAAGATATAAGAAAAAAAGGTGTTCGATAACAGATGGAGGAATTAGAATAACGTTTATAAGGTATTTCTCCCGCCTTCGTGGTGTAGTGGTTCTACACGCTGGGCTGGTATTCCAGAGGTCGGTGATTCGATTCCCGGCAAAGGCGGTTGCTAATTTTTCATCTTGCCTGCTTCCAAAAAATCCTAATGGCTCTACACGTTGACTGACATTATTGGCATTTATTAGTTGGTTGCTGCTGTCTAGTGTATATAAATCTCGTAAAGAGTTCACAATCTTTGAGACGGAACAACGGAATAGAATATCTTCAGGGCAACTATGTTCTGTGAGAAATTGAAAATGATATCGAAGATTTTTCGATTTAACGACAGACGGACACGAACAAGAAGAAAAGAAACTGACAAATTTTAGTTATGAGAGAACTTTGGGATAAAAGGAGGGAAATTTTGACGATTTTATACAACTCTGAAGTGTATGTTACTATGGAAGCACAGCTGGTAGCTTTCGGAGGAACGAGTCCTTTCTTCCAATACATACGCAGCAAGTATAGCATAAACTTTGGGTACTTTGTAACAAAGCTACCAATTATATATGGAATATACAGCGGTACCTCAGAAAGCAGTCTGCGCTGAATCAGAAAGAAACCAAGGTCTCGGGATTGTCAATGATCACTTTCAAAGTGTAAAAGGGACATAATATAACATATGATAACTTTGCGTTGAATAAACTTAAGCAATTGCTTTTAAAAAAACCTACAATGATTGGAACACTAAAAAAGAATAAGCCAACAGCTCCTTTGCAGTTGTTTAAGTTATAGTCCTCCGCAGTTATAGCCCTCTAGGCCACTCTTCATTATGACAAAAAAAAATAAATAAATAAAAAAAATAAAGGATACAGACAGAAAAAAACCACAAATAATTCCGGATTATAACAGCATAAACTGGCCTCCCACTATTCTTGCCGGTGGAAGACAGATGGTCGATCATAGTTTTCTCCAGCATCCTAAGCCCTTATGCGTACAATGTATTCGTATTTTTCATTAAGATCAATCCAGCAGGGAAGGTGAACACATTTCACAAAAGGAGAATTAAGAAGATTGGCCGGTTACCCACCACACTGAAAGAAGAAAACATCATCCAAGAGCAATGAGCGCTCGAAAATTGGTGGTGAATATTCGAAACTTAGGAACCCAACATGAAGAATCCAGAAATACGTATATCAACTACACGCAAAAGTAAATGATGGCGCTTATGCACACAGAATGACAACAAAAGTTCCGTAAAGTGTTTTAAATGTGAATAGTTCACTTGGAAGAAACATTTTACTGAAGTGTGTAACAATTGTATATAAACGGAACAACTTATAGATAAACGAATTCAACAAATTTTCTGTCTTCCTTTCATTTGATTGTTCAAGCAACTAAACTTATATTATTGGATATAAGCTAAATATTTAACAAATATTTTGTCTGCATTGGGCAATTTTACGTTTAAAAAATGAAGGAATAATATGCACAAATGTGAATTTGTTTGTGCTATCAAACGTATATAAAAATAAATAAAAGTGATAAATACAGAAAAAATACTTCCTAAACTATACTGTATTTGAAAGTGTACAGCGAGTTTTAAGGGTGAATGACAGAATAACAGAATTTTATTTTTTTGTAAATAGGAAATGGTTCATTAAATTCATACTCCCTTATAATCATGAAAACTTACATGTAAGGCAATGTTAAATTTTATATAAATACAGAAAATAATAGAACAAAATTACTGTTAAATAAATAATTACATTACTAATATCGACAAAATGATTCAATAGCATCCAAAATTGTACTATGGATCGTTTTTGCCCCGAGTATATTAGGTGTGTGCTACATATTAACAACGTAAGAATATCAAAGCAAATCACATTAGAGCAATTTATTCGTTATAATTATTGAAACGCTATCGTTTGATTACCTATTTAGATAGACATATAAATTTGAGAATAAGGAATGCAAGTGTTAAATGCTGTTTTATCATAAAATAAATAAATAAATATCTACTTTAATTAAACGTAATAATATAATAATAATATTATTGCCCATTTTCTGTCAAAATTCCTTCAGTATACGAAAGAAACCATGTAGTTGTTAATATTTTATACTTATAAAAACATGTTCTTATGTTCATATGCAAAATTGTTTCCAGTGTGCGTGTACTTCAAATTTAACACTTTTCAAAACTTTGATGAATTATGACTTATGTTTTAAATATACTTCAAATTCATTACTGGATTCCTCAAATACCTTAATTTAATAATAGCAGTGTTTTTCCAAAGTTACATATTACATCATTCCATTATATTTAATTTTTCAGGAGTATTCTCTGCAATTCTATGTGAATGAATATTGGAGAGATCTTAGACTCAATCTGACTTTCTTAGACAAACTCCAGCAAGTGCCTAGCAGTTGGGTCCCGGATATCTGGACACCAGATATCATCTTTGAAAACTCGAAAGGTGGATGGATATATCCTCTATCCATTCCAAACATTGTTGTGCAAGTGCATTCTCACAGATATTTGCACCGCTTCACGAGGTATTTTTTTTTATTTCTAGCAGTAATTTCTAATGCAAGATTATTCACTCTGTGGAGAAACCCACAACATAAGCTCAGAAAAAATTAAATCAAAACACATGAAATTAATTTAAAAGAGCGCAAAATTTTGAATAAAAATGTAAAAACTCGCTAAAGGGTGTAACGCAGATTCAAAACATTTGGAATAACAACCGTTTAATGCAATTTATGTATTTTCTCATACGCTACAGCAATCACCATGCTACTTTAGGGTTGCTACATAAAGGAGAAACTGGTTCTCCATTAAAAATGCAAAGACTAGCAACAATGAACTCCCATTTAATTTCTTTAGTTCAATGCTGATTGGGTAAAAATGTACCATCTACAACAATTGCTGCAAGGAAGGAAAAATAGGGGTCTTTCTTTTAATGATAGACCCGGAAGAAAAATTTTTTGGAAACGTTGCTCGAAATATATAAATGTGTGATACTGCCTTAAGAAGAACAAAAAGAACATGCTAAAAACATTCAGTTCAAATCAGAAACAAATCAAAGTGATTAAACAGTACATAAGACTTGAATTAGTCATTATCTCATCAATATCCTCCAAACATGTTTTCTGCTAAAGTTTCTTCGTGTTCCAAATTAAAAGCGAAAATATCAGCTAGTAAGCTCTTTATTCTTTAACGAATAGAATAAGCGAACTCGCTACGGTATGAATTGCATGGGATTGAGAATGGAAGAATTAAAAATTAAGTTAGATAAAAACATAGTTAGGCAGTAACAAATATTGATCAGCTGAATGTATCTACGTCCCACATATTTTTCTCCTTTTCGCCTTTTCTAATATAAGACTTTATTTATTAATCGCATAGTAAAGAAACGTTTATTATTTAAACTAATAACTGCTTATTATTTACCTTCTTAAACACTGATGAAGTAATTAAAAGAATTTCCCGCTTGCCATAAAAAGCATCATTTTTTAAACATTAGTTACAGCTTTAGTCGCTATCCTTTTCTTTCCTTCTGTTATTTATTAAATAGTAATGTAAATTTTACACAAGTTTAACTTTCATGTTATTTTTTTCTCATCTAAGCATAAATCTCAGTTCCTTCTTCTTTTTTTCTTTTTTAAGAAGAGAAAAATCGCTCACCTATTAATTCGTAGGGAGTTGAAAGAATCTCGGTGGTGTAGCCTATTATACGCAAATCAACACAACAAAACCTTAAAATTATGCTAAATGAATATGGAGCTTATTTGTAAAAAAAGCTCCTAAATCATGTATTATTCGTTATTTTTTTATCTCTTGAAGCTGTATTTAGATTATCTCCTATTTAAATTATTGAAAATATTTCCTCAGGTGAGGAAAGGGATTGGTTTAAATCTTTCAAATGCTCATTAAAATCTTCCCAGTTTACTGCAAGATTCGAATTTCAATCATTATGAATCTACAGTCTCCAACTGCCTTAGTTTTTTCGTTTCTCATGTTTACCTCCTCCCCCCCAAAAAATTCATCGTTCATTTAAATATTGCATTAATATTATGTCAATTTTAATTTTTATGCTATTTTGATTTTTGCATTTATCAGTTTATCTTCTTGTAGTTTATATTATCTTGTAAATACTCAGGGAAAGGGTTTAAATATTAAAATAGCGCCTTTTATAGTGTAACGATTAAGACTGTTATAACCTGGGTTGCAGACAGAGGTCAAGCCCTGGAATGTTTGCTTGTGGAAAGAGACTTTTAACCGATAAAGATGATATCACATGCTCTGCATGCACAAGTATAGCTGACTTGGACATTTTCACCCATTTTCTGAGTTTCGTTGCACAAAGGGTGTTAATTGCATACAGATATTTTTTTACTCACTCTCTTTATGGAAAGCATGATCTTCCTTTTAACTTCCCCCCGAAATCTTTGCCCAACCTCTCGGTTATTTAGTTTTCGGTTTTTATATTATCTGAGACGTTTTAAGTCAGCAACCAGTTAACGACCTCATAGTTTGCATCTCTCTTCTATTTTAGTATTAACGATAGTTGTTGTTTTATATTTCATAGAAGCATCCTGTATCACGATAGTAATTTCAGTAGAAGCTCAGCAAATAAACCAAAATAAATATTACAAATAAAGTAAATATCTTAAATTTGTTTATGTATTCATAATAATGAAGTTTCATATTATATTTAATAATGAAGTTTCATAGCTTTCTTATTAAAAACGTTTCATATACAAGATGCATAAGCTTTATAACATAGCTAAACAAAGGTAGAAATATGATTTCAAACTATCGATGAAGCTCAGACTGTCGATGAAACTTATCGATGACGGTTTCAAGTTGAGTTCTTTTTCATAAATCTATTAACTTCGATTGTAATAATTTGTGGCTCTATTAAAAGTTAATACAAAGCTTTAAGACCATATTGAGACATAATAGGCAGGACAGGACAGTAAAAAGTGCAGGGGGCACCACAACATCGTCATAGAACAAAAATGGTATTGCCCCACTGCATTAAGACATAATAGACAATAGCAACTCTTCATATTTACAAATAAAATGCACTAAGCATTACAGAAATAGCGTTCTTTGAAACTAGCAACAATACTAACTTGGCATCATGATTTGTTGTGCATTCACACCAAAACTCTGCAACTTTTTCTTGAGAAATGGGTTACAGTGCAAAGCTAGATCCCATATAATTTACATCACTGTAATAATTTCACGTACTCAAAATCGCACCATTCTCAGATAAATATTTTAATTATTCAATAATTCGAATTATCTCATTATCGATGGCAGTATCTGTGGTCTGTTGATATTATTAATAATAATATATAATATTCACATGATAATCACGAATAAAATATTCACATTCGTAAGAATTTAAAGTAACACATTTTGGTGGTCCCAGACCAATGCATTGAATATCCTGTAGTATCTCCTTTGAAAGACACGAACTTTTAGTAAAATATTATTTACCATTAAAATATATTATTACCTTAGTTCGTTATATTATGATTCAATAAAAATTTGTAATATTTTAGATACAACATGAAAATCAGTTGTGCCATGTTTCTCCGGACATATCCGATGGACACACAGAATTGTTTCCTCAGCATATCATCATGTAAGTATTCCCTCCAAGTCTTGGGAAACTAACATATTGATTCTATTTTCAAGACTAAATTGTAGAAAATAAAACATTTTTATTCCTTTTCAATAATTTTATTTGCTTCTCCCTGTTAATTCATTTTATTAGCCTACCCTAAATACTCTTTATTTTGGTAACTAGCATTACTATATTTAGCCCACTGGTATAAATAATACTGTAAGTATAGAATTGTTCATCTACATTCAATCAGTGTAATATTAATTTCCTTTTAGTTTTGCTTTGAGTGGCAACAGTTGTAAAACATTATTATTTTGGTAGAATAAACGTGTTTAGTTGTGTTTAAAGTCTTACAGAGATTATTTAGGTAGAAATTAGTTGATTAATGGACAAAATGGTGTATATTTACTGTTGTATATAACATTTGGTGGCTCTAAGTAGATGATTTAAATATAAGAGGTGAGTACTTTATCTAAGAAATACTTAATTGAATTTTTGGTTTTGGTTTGCAATGGAGCATCTTGTTAAGAAGCGATCTCCGTTACGAACATCGTTTATTAAGACATATCAAAGTTTAATGTCTCTGTTTGATGATGAAAATATAGAAAAAAGCCATGTTAACCCATTAACCGCCGGTGTTGCGTTGACGCAACGGTCAAAATAAATGCGTATATAAATATAACTACTTAAGATATTTTATACCAGCAGATGATTTTGCGTAGAGAAAATTATGAAGATTATTTCTGTAAAAAATATTTGCCTTCAACAATCATTTTGTTTATAATAATTATTCTCATACTTTAAGCAAAATTTTCGACCGGGTATTTTTGCTGAAAATATCTAACGAATGAATCGCTGTCTTTATGAGTGATCTATTTTTAGTCAAGGTCACCGTTTATCAGAACATTACATCAGTCAGATGTTTATATTTGTGTTGGGAAGCAAGGGAAAACAGGTGTTGCGCTGACGCAACGTCAGCAGGAAACGGGTAGTCAATTTCCTTTTTCACTCATTCCTTTCGATGTTCTGGTTCATGTTCTGGTTGTTTAAAACTGCCTAGAACAAGGTATCTTACATTAGAAGAAGCCCTTCAAAGATTTTTTTGTGAAGAAACACATGATGATAATGTTAATAATGACCAGAATGAAACTGATATTGTTGTTGTTCCCCCAGAAATTGCAGAAACTAGTGACGAAGAAGAAAGGAATGGCAATGTTTTAAATAATGATAATGATATTTTACCAAATGATACTGCTGGGGAAGTTGAAATTCACGTAAGAAGTATTTCAGCCTTCTAAAAGCAGTTATGGTCATAATAAAAAGTTTAAAAAGCAGAAGATTGAAATCTTGAAGTAGATAAAAAAAAAAAAAAAAAAAAAAAAAAAAAAAAAAAAAAAAGAACTGTTAGTTATGTCTCATGAAGAAAGAGAAAGAAGAGAAATTATAAAAGACAAAATACAAGGAAAAACTAATGCACAGATTTTCGATTTTCGTTTTGGTTTAGACATTTATTCTCTTATCGTTGAAGAAACAAATATATGCGCTCGCTCAGGAAAAAAAAAAAAAAAAAAAAAAAAAAAAAAAAAAAAAAAAAAGGGCCCAGAATTTATTGCATCTTGAAGCCTATATGAGAAGATTGAAGATTTATTGGAATATTATTGCTTACAGGATATTATTCTTTACCTCAAGAAAAATATATTGGTATTTTTATAAGGACATCTCTTTTTCTGTTGTACGAGAATCGATATCACGCTTGCAGTACAGGAATATGAAGCAGAATTTGAATTTGCATTTGACAATAGTCAAATGTCAAATTGACAATACTGATAAATTATATGAGGTGAGACCATATCTAAACTTACTAAATATCACCATTTTTTACTACTGGAAATATAAAGTCTCTTTTAGATTTCAGACGCGAGAATGCATTATTCCTTTTGCAAACTCCTATTGAGAGCGTAGAATTAGCCAGAAATAGATCAGCAACAGGAAGACCTAGTAAATTCAGCATTCAAAAACCATTGCATGGAGATGGTAGACATTTTATCGTGAAGTCCGTTGATAAGAAAAGACTTTGTTGTAAAGAGTACCATAGCCAGACTGTTTATAGATGCAAAGTAGGTAATGTAGCTTTATATCATGACTGTAATCAAGCTTTTCATGCTTGAATCTTTCAATTGAAATAATCTGTATTTGTAAAAGAAATACAATGTATATTTTAATATTAAATTAATTGCAAGTAAAGTGATTTGTAGATTTATAAAACGTTATACAGCTAAAAAGTAATCCTGCGCTCCACTCAAAAGAAACATCACACGAGTATAATCCTACTCACTAAACATCCGTAGTCTTATTCCGCTGATGTTGCGCAAACGCAACACTCGCGTTTTTCACAGGTGAGAGTATTTTTTTTTTATTTTCAATGTAAATTTATGTTATAAATGCTTAATTTAATATTTGTTATCATTTTCATGAGAAAAGAAACATTCCTTGTAGTTTTGGCGGTTAATGGGTTAAGATTAAATTAGCTACTTTAGAACGCATTAGTGCTGGTTTAATGACTCTTGATAAAGAAATTTTAGAACTTGCCTTAAGTGCAGACGATAATGGTAAAAGTTATTCGGACGAATTTGAATTTGTAGAAGAATATAAAGTAAAATTTGACGAAAACTGACAGAATAAATTAATAGAATTTTAAAAGCATTACGAGGAACTGAATTGGAAAATCATTAAATCTTAATAAATGTTAAACGCTTAAAGAAACTCCGAACGGCCGATGGAAGAAGCTTTTCCTATAATTTTTGCAGACTCAAAGCTAAAATTCTGATTAAATTTCCAGTTATGATTAACTCTCGAAGACTTGTTAAATTCAGATTTTAGGACATAAGATCCATGTTTATTAATCCAAAAGTTTAACACTCTTTTAGTTTGGCTGATATACAATCTGTCACAAAAATTATATGCACCAAGAAGGAAACGAACTACTGTCATGAAACTTAACATGTATGTTGTATGAGGAGTTTCTTCTTAACTTCTAACTTAACATGTATGAGGAGATAAACAAATTATTACGAATTCAGAACAAAAGATCGTTTTATTCGGAGGTTATAAAATGAAAAATGTTACAAGTCAGTAAGCAGTATAGCCACCTCTGGCAGCCTGACAAGCCGAAACACGGTGTGGCACAAATCAAGTATGTCACCTATGGCCCCTGCTGAAGATCATGCCATAATCTTTGCAACTGGGCAGTTAATTCACCAATATTCCGAGACGGCTGCAGTTGCCTTTCAAACATGTCTCAAATGTGTTATATTGGCGAGAGGTCTGTTGACCTGGAAGACCATGGGAGTACGTCATACCCCTGAAGACACTGTTTTGAGAATCGCGCAGTATGTGGACGAGCGTTGTCTTGCTAATAAATGGCACTGGGCAACTTGATAGCATAGGCAGGACAAAAGACAGTTACGTTAGCTCGCAGTTACGTTAAAATGTCCACGTAACTGCGAGCCGTCCTAGTGCCTTAAAGGACAACTAGAGTCGATCGTGTGTCCCAAGAAATCGCATCGTTCCTCACACTGTCACACTTTATGTAATCGCCATGTGCCGCTCGAGAACAAATGCCGGATCGGACAGCTGGACTAGCCTTCTCCACATGCGTGTGCGGGATAGATCGCTGAAGACTACCCGCCTCCAGTTGGTCATACTCCATCTTGCCCACGTTCGGAAAAAAACCATTTGATACTATCTATGATGGGGAGTTAGTGATAGGCATCTTAATGGATGTAGGCAGTGTATACCAGCTTCAGCCAGTCGTGTCCGGATGAATTTCCTTGATACCAGCGGATGCCTGGAAGGTAGTAAATGTCGTCGAATCGATGTTGTTGATGCAGAAGTGGCCACTTTTATGATTACGCGATTCTCGCGCTTATTTGTGTTCCTGGGACGCCCTGACCCTCCGCTACAGTAGATAATCCCTTCCGTTATCCATTGTTACCAACACTGAGACACTCCATATCGCTTGACCGAGGTGGCGGCCGCTACGCCTGTTCGACTTATCTTCTTCTCTGAGGCCTACTATACGCCCTTTCTCAAAGTCCGTAAACTGTTCCTTTGCTACCCGTTCCTTGTCAGAGGAATCTATAGTCACTGTATCGTCCATCCAAGTTGACATATTTGTTTGAATAGCCCTACGGTTCCGTTCCGTTTGCCGTTGTAGCCGCGTCTGGCTTTCCAAAGTGCAAGATATATACCTGCTATCTTTAGTTGGTTGTTTAGTGTAGCGATTAGCCCTGCGGCACGAGCAATCATGCTTTTAAACTCACCCCAGCTGCGCAACTAATACGCGCATAGAGAGCTTAGCCTTGTCTTACTGGCTTCGAAATTTAAATCATTTGCATATCTCTTACCAGACTATATTCCTGCTGAGTTTCGTGATTGTGGATGGATTTTTTCTGGTTGCATATATTTTTTGTGACAGATTGTATCTCAAACCATAATGACGAGATATGCTCTAAATTCCCCAAGAATTAAAATCAGAAATGGTATCTTTAAGAAATGAACAATGGATTTTATAATTATGCGAGAAAATGACTTGAAAATTGAATATCTGGAGGATACCGGCAGTTTTGTAACTGATAGAAGGATGAAATGGAAGCACGATAAGGTTATTAATATTATTCCTAACAGCGGAACGCCTTTTTTGTGAGCAAGATGAATATTTCGTAAAGGCTTCATAAATGACCACGGAGGAAAATCCTCGATCAATGGAATATGATCTCAAATAGTTGCTCATTAGCAAGCAAAGATTCCGTGGAACAAACTCTGACAGCGCGAAATACGCAATAGTAAAAAGAAATCATTGTTTGCTTAGCCGGGTGACATGACGTAGCTTTGCGTGGTAAACAAACGGAAAAGGGTTTACGATAAACAACAGTGCTGAAATAAGATTCATTGCGGGTTATTTGAATATTAGAATATCAAGGAGGGGAAGGGTATGGTATGTCATATTGAGTTTCAAA